TGTCACAATAGATGATTACAGTTTGTTGTCTTTGCTAATATATTGTTATACAAGCGATACATATATGTTAAAGCTTCCTAATGATTGATCCCATAACCCTTTTTATCTGATCCTGATTTTAGTTTAAGCTTTCGWAGTCTGCGTCTWTCTTYATGGGTGTTTGGGAAGTTGATCGTCATAGCGACAAACAAGATTTGCGCGGGAAAATTAGGAACTCGCGGCCGCGCGCCAATATGTCAAAARRGCGCGAAAACGAAACTTTTACTTCCTAAAAAAACTATACTTAAGATAAAAGTAAATTCACGAAACGTGAACCGGAAAAGTTTAAAATATTTAGCAAATTTAAAACGGTTTGATTTTCACGAGATAAAAAAAACTCACACATCACTATTTTTGTTTTTCCTTCAAAAACAACAAGAAACACGTTTTCTTTGATTATATATCGTATGCAATTGTATTTTTACAGTGAATTGCCAAAAAGTACTTTATATTATTCAACTAACGAGTCGTTAGTAATATGAATTGAAATGCATTGAAATATGCGAAATTTACGAAAGACGAATTCAAAGCAATACTATTTCATTCAACAAGACACTGATTCTAGACACTCAGAGCTTAACCAGCCCAGTCATTTCATTTCTTATGCTATAATTTGACTTTTCATTTCACCCATCATCGTGATGGGTTGCCTGTGCATGTATGCTTAATACAGATAGTAGAGCCGACGCACTCCAACCGTGAAACTTAAATAGTGCAAACTAAATTATTCTAATTCCCTTGTTTGCTATTGTCTAATCAACACTATTTCGTAGAGTGACGTCATTAAACCCGTGAAATAAAAACTTGACTATTTAAGTGTGATATTCAAATAGACACAAAGGGAAACAAAATTAGAGCGTGCTAAGGTGTATTAGCGTAACATCTATTTCACGGTTTTTGGAGTTCACTGTAGTAATTAGTATTAAGCATGTTTTCAACCATTTTTTCCAGTTTACCTAACTCTTCTTATCGACAGGAAAGTAAATTCCTTGCTTGAAATGAGAAAATGCCCCATTTTCAAAATAAATGGTTTCTTCCCTAACCTCGTTCTGATCTCCCTCAGTGTAATGACAAAACACTTTCACGTGGAAAGAAAGGCTGGGGTGAACCCGAGCAGGAAATGACGTCATTACTTTATCAGGTAGATAGACGACAGACTTATTGGCATCACTTCGGTGCTGTTTTTCCCAATACTCTCGATTCCAATGACAATTTGTTTTTGTTAACTGTATTAGATTTGCAGAAAGAGTAATTTCCGTGCCGTAGAATTCTCCTTTCGTGTCGAAATCCTTTCTAAAGTCAATTTCCTTGGACCAATACAGACTTGGCCTTGACCGGTTGTCTTCACGTATCAGTGTCAATCGCGCCGCATTGCCCTCAGCATCGTATTGMACCCCATTGCTAAACCTCTTGAAATGATCTGGAAAGAACAGTTCGAAAAAGAAGATTTTCTTTTCTTTTACTCGCATGATCGTCCATGTTCCTCCTCCGTTCTGAACGAAAAATGCTCTCGCGTCGTTGCCGATTTTTCGTGATGAAGGGTGAATCATTCCATGTTCATCGCAATCCCGGTCTTTCAGGTACTCCCACGGGCCATTCATCGGTCCCGTATTCTTACTACTGCCATCTTTGTAGATAAAAGTGTTCTGATGTTTCATTCTCGAATCATCGATCAACTGGATGTGTCGAATGCTGTCGAAACTATCCAAAACTTCGCCAGTATGAGGATTCCATTTGGTCCAGAAGCCAAGCCACTTTCTGCAGTTATACGTTGTGTAGTTTGTCCATAGTTGAGCTGGAGTTATCTTGTTCTCGTCCATAATGTTATCCTCTTGAAGCAAAAGTGTATTGCTTCATCTACTCGTAAAGGCGCTTGATAACAAATTCTTAGTATACCCATGCAATATTAGAAGGGGGAAGCGCGCTACAGTGAAACTTGAAGCTGCTTTAACTTAACCTTGCGATTGTGCTCTCACAAACTAAACCTCGCTCTTCAAACTTTTGTGCTGTAGAAACGATTACGTAAGGTTGTATTTCCGAGGTTTTTTTAGTTGAATAACTGTTTTTTTCTACAAGTTAGGACAACATTTTAATAATATTGAAACGTGTGACTTTGATTTCACCCACCCTGACTGAAGGTCAAGTATGTGGTTTCGAAATGATAATAATTCCACTTCAGTAAACATGAATCAAAAGTTCAAATGTGCCGCAAACTAGAGTACAAACACTWCAAGAATCGTTTAGAAGCATTAACCAAATATTGCTAAAATGCAGATTATTCAATGAAGTTATGTCCAGCACCCATGAAACAAAGTTTTACTATTTCAAAAGTGTTATAGAGTGCATTAATAAAAAGCGTGAAACATTAGTAATACTATTTTGTGAAATTCTTTTGTTTACTTTTGTTCATCTAGAACTATTGTTTCACGCTTTACTGAAAGAAGTCAAGCAAATAGAAACAAACAAACAAACAAAAAAACAAACAGTGTAATTATAGCGTAGTAAGGTGTATTAGTGTAATACCTATTTCACGGGTTTTTTGACTACACTTTAGAAACAAAGGAATTGACATAGTCAATACAATTTGGGAGTTTTTCGTGGTTTAAGTGGTTGCATTCAAATTTTACAGTGAAAGGGAAGGCTCGCAAGAAAATTAAAAAAATAATATATACATTATAAAACGAATATTCCGAATTATAAATAAATAAATCCACAAAATATATCTAATAATAAATAAATAAAATGAGTCCTCGAAATCGATCATTTGGCTTAATCAATATCAGTTGTACACATCTTTTGCATTTTTTGGTGTCGCCGCGTCGTCTTCCATTGGAAAAATGAAGCTCCGAGTGCAAGGTCAACTAGAGCTCAAAAGCTGCCGTAAGAAGGATTTCTTTTGGTATTATAACATATCATCACGTATTTATTCTCAAGTGCTTACGTGTTCACTTCTAAATCTTTATTTGAGGTCGAAGGGCCCATATTATACCAGTTTTCAGTAGGCATAAACGTTAAAGTGAACATGCGTTTCCGTAACTGATTCATTTTACTACCGTAAACTAATGCGTTTTCATAGCGCTTTTAGATCATTGCTTTGTGGGGTCCCATGCACTCATGCCTATTCGTTTACGTAAGGTACTGTACTTCTTTTGTCCCTTAGCTTGCGTTAATACGTTTTCGTATGCATGATAAACTAATACGTTAGGTTTTGTACACACTGATGCGTTTTTGTAGAGTCTCTCTCTTCTTCTTTTAGATTCCGTACGTAGTACTACGTTAATCCACGTATTTATATTTTTTTCAGTTCATAACGGGAGATAAATACTGGTAAACAGTACAAATTTTGTAATAAATTAAAAAATTGTACATTTTTTTCTGCTCTTCAACAGTTATTAATCATAATAACACTAGATACGCTAAAACAGTCCTATTTTTATTTTCTCACACTTCGCCAAAGGAAATATATAATTTTGCAGTAGATGGTAGAAGTCATCTTTTACCTAAAGAATAACAAAAAAACAAATCTATATTTAGTAACAAACACCATGCCTTTCCCCTTTCCCCTTTTATTTGACCAAGAGATGTTTTACCAAAAAATGTTAAAAACGTTTCTCTGATCATGCAAAACTTGATATCTTTAACAACATTTGAACCTCATAATTATTGGTTAAAAAAGTAACTCAAACAGTCAAATAACAATTCTTAAATTTTGTAAAATCAAAATTTACTGCAAGCCAGCTTGAATCAGTGAATTTTTTTTCTCTACCTCTGGCATATCTGCAATGCTTCTAAGCTTTTGATCTCTCCACGTCCAGTCCACCACAACATACTTTAGTTTGCTAGTTTCAAGTGATTCTAAAACAATAAAAGAATAATCAGTTGATATTTCAAACAAATTCCAAACTTTCAGATGTTTCTCTTTCATTAAACCATCGTTTATATTAGCTACCATTACCCACCATTTTGTAGAAGTTTTAGRACACGATTTGGCGTTCCAATGCCAATATGAACTAAATGKGAAGCAAGAAACTTTGTTTGGTCTTCCACCTTTAATGTGTAGAAAAAAAAAACATTAAAAGGTACATGTATAATAATTTCTTTCATTAAGCCAACAGTTTCCACTGACAATGAACACCAGTATGATATATGAGGGACACAAGTTAACTAGTGTTGTACACTATTTAGTKGTACCCCCATAAAATAAAGTTATTATCATTWTAATTATTATTAAGTACCTTGAAATGCTTTGCGAATAATTTTACAACTTTTCCATCTGCTTTGAATTTGTCTATTGATCTGTGGTAATAAAAAATAAAAATTGTGATTTCAACAAAGTCCAACAAAGTCTAAATTTAATGTATGAAAAGAAAAAAGAAAATGTGCAAAATAAAGAGAAAGTACATGGAATTAGATAATGAATGATACAAGAAACACTGATGTCTCCATTTGTAGGCCTAATAGGCGATATGCATTATGGCGTCATTTACCACAACTACCAGAATGCTTTGCCAACTTTCTTTTGTAATGCAATTAGTGCCAATTGTTTTATTAATCTGCAAGGGGATTGAAAATCTGAATAACAATGAAARTACGCAAGGCTCTCTGGTAGTTGTAGTAAAGTTACGTCATAATGCAAACAGCCTATTCTACTTGATTAACAGTAGTGAGGTATGCAGTGCTTGGACATACTTGTTTAATTCAACTGCTCTTGTTGCTGCAGACGATATGATCAGTAGCAAAGGACTTSCATTGACCTTCTTATTATTGAGTTTTTCCACTTGCTTGTCCCAATATGGGATAACTGGGAAAAAAGTAATAACGGCTTACTCTTTGTTATTACGCAATTATCCACAAAATAGCTATATTTATCACTTTTGAAAACCTGAAACATTGATTTGTGGTACCTGATGSTAATACATCTGAGGTAAATAAAAATGATTACTTTAGTTTTAAACATAAATTGCTTTTTCCGGATGATTACATGATAAACAGAATATTACAYGGTCTAAAGAAACATGGATTTTATCTTCTCTTATCAACACTCAAAGATGACACCCATATCTCTGCACGGCCATCCTCTTTGTCATTCAAATTGATAATCAATTAATTTAAATCCATTCTTTATACACTATTTCATTTTTCATTCAATTTGAAAATTGGAAAGTTCTTATGCCCAACGCACACGATAGGAAAGTACTTAAGCGAAATGCCACACGAGCGCTTTGATCAGCGTTTTTCTCACCTTGAACAACAAAAATAGTTTGACACGCTGCTCAAAGTGACTTGCATGGCTTAATTTCCCTCACACACTTTCCTTTCGTGTGCGGCTTTAGATTTATAGTACCACAAGTTTACAAACCTTTGTTCAAATATATTGGAAGTTGTGTAGACTCCCCAGTATGGACAGAATCTTCAATTAAACAACATGACTCTATAATAGCAACAAAGACAATGGATAAGTTAATAGATGATACCCCATTTACCTTTCTCATCACTAGACTGCACTACAGCCTCTTTAAAAGGCAGAGAAATATGGATATAAAATCAAACACAACTTGTTGTATAACATTGTTGATTTTCAAGTTTAGGTTYAATGGTTTGTCATTTTCCATTGCCTGTTTGTTGTTGTTGTTGTATGACAAGTTGCAATAATCCAGTTTCGAATTCTCCAATGCTCTGTGTTAGCCTCATTTGTGCGCAAAATATTCGTAATTGTGAGAATAAAAGTGTGAGATTTCATATCAATTCTATTGTATTCCTTTTCAAATTCCATGCGTTTTCACAGGCTATCAATAAAACAAAAGAATATGTTACTTGGTTTTGAGGCTRACACAGAGCAAACCAGAACTCGAAATTGGAGTATTGCRTGGTCAAGTTGTTAAATGAGAAACATCAACTCCAAACTTGGAAAAAGTTGGGAAATAAGTTGTAGATTTCTGTATCTTGTATTTCTCATACCAGCACAGGAAGCCCACAACAAAAACATTTTGAACACTGAAGAACATATGTTTTCTTCATCAAAATGACACAATTACCTCAATTTTTACCAAGAAAAAGCAAAAATGACCATCGTGCTTTGCTGCATGAAATGCAATCGCTGCATATTGCCTATTGATAAACATACACAACTCTAATAATGTCCCATGATACTCACCGGTAATTTTGATATCCTCTAATTCTATTGGAGTCAATCTATTTGCACAAGCTGTACAAAATGAGTTCCACAATGTTTCAGTGACTTTTGAYCCTTGAAGCTCTTTAGGGACATCGTTAACCTTGAGGAATATTAAAGATTTTAATAAAACTGTAATGATTCTCGCACAATTTCATTCAACAATCTGAAACACGAATGAGAACTAGGAAAAGTAAATAAAGTTTCTGTTATTAAAATGACATTTAGTTAATATACGCACGCTGACCTTTGGCCTTTTTCTCTTTTTTGTCTTTTTCTTTTCAGTTGAAGGTGAAGTCTACATGTAATTCAAGTTGTTTAGACAGTTCAACTTAATATTGATTTTAAAGAAAATATCAGGCTATCAGTAATTATTCTCAGATATAAACGGAATACAAACAGCAAAACATACTACCTTTTCTAAAAAAAACAACAACAACATCAAGAAATACTTTCAAACTACGGAAAATACCGACTTTGTTTACCTCTTGTGCTGTCACGTGTGTTCTTGACGCAGGAGACAATTTTCGCTTTTTCGTACGATTTTTTGATTTTTCTGTAAAGAAATCTCATGATCAAACAGTGGCAATATCAAATAAAATTTTCACCGTGTTTTCATACCTTTATTWTTCTTATCTAATGTGGAATCGTCGTTATTATTCCCTTCAAGCCACCAGATGTCTTCAAGTCCAAGTCCGTCCGCCATCTTGAAATAGCTAAGCTAGCAATGCATTCTGGGGATAGCACAGGAAGACCAGAACTGATGAAGTGTGCCCGCAAACAGGAGGATGTTATACAACTTCCATATATATTGTATATGTACATTAACCGCAAAAATAGAATCCTGTGTATTTTATAAATTCAGAAATGGTCCCTATCCAAGAAACTGTGATCGTTGATCACAAAATAACTGATGACCTATTATCCCATCTACAGCTAGCAGGTACCCTTTTTGCCTACATCCACTTATAAACATACCCATAATACAATTTTCTGCCAATATARATAGATCACTCAAGTGTAACGTCACAAAAATATTTTTTTTTCAAATTTTTAGGATTTGTTGAAATATCCTTAAAGCACATGGGAAAAAATAGCTATCTACCAAATTTCAGTTCATAACGAAAGGAACAAGGCTAAATTTACAAGCGTTTGTATGTGGTCACCCGACCATAAAATCGTTTGTATCTCCTCTATAAATGGCACTAGACACTCACATTTAGCAAGGATGCATTAAAAACGATGCACTTTCAGAATATTGAGGGCAAACTTAAAACTCAAAGATTTTCGTTTTGTGACGTCATCACTCGAGTACTCTATACATCGATGCTGGCAAAGTTCTTTGCATTCAGTAGAGCTTGCTGTTTCTAAGATCAATTTCTCTGGTAAAACAGATCGATGTGTCATTTGTGTTGGCCAGACAGTGGTTTACCAGCACATTCTCTACAAACGACGCTAGTATGGTACCACATAAAGAACCGATCCCCACTCCACACGTCAACAAACCCATATATAGTTCACGGACTCTTAGATCTTCAATTTCTCCAGCCACTACACTTATATTGGTATAAGTTCCATCACAGCAGACACCTAGTGTAAACACAAGAACTATTGGGACCCACACGTTTGGCAAGAACCCATACCATGACGCAAGAACCAAGATTACCACATGACAAACAGAAATTATCACCAGAATCCATGTGCGACGTATGAGAATCTTATCTGCAAGACCCGGCTTGACAATATCTGCCCATCCAAGATACGAACGCCCGACGAAAACACCAGCAAAGGCCATTATGGAATAGTACTTGTAGTGATCTGAACTGGGAAATGGAGAATTATTGAAAGCCAGCGAGGTCACAACTCCGGTTGATGTCATACTGAATAAAATGTCTGCGATTATTAGTTGAATTAACTGTGGCAGAATTTGGAGAGAATGGTAAAACTTTTCTCTTGTTGTCAAATACTTGTCCGTTATGGTTTCGCCATCGCTGTTTGTGCTCGGTTGACCTTCGGTGATCGCTCGGTAGCCCATTCGTACATTTTGTCGTCGGTTTTCCAGTAACGAATAACATACGAGGAAGACAATGGGCTGCATTATGACAATGATAGGAATAGCAATCTTGTAAGAAACATGAAACCAGCTGGTCATTGCTGCAATGAAAATTCGGTATACATTGTCAGGAATCTCTAATAATTCATTTGCTTAGAAAGTCAGTGATGTACGGAGCAAGAGATGATCGTGAACACACTTACTCGCTTTTTCGCTGCCCCTTTCCCCCGGGGGGGGACTCCCTTATAAAAGTTAGTAGGAATGCTCGACGGACGGATTGAAAAATAACCCTGAAAGGTACGCATAGATCAATTCAGGTGTCCATTCCAGACCCTAAAAGGTACGATCATTTTTGACGTCTTTAATAAGAAAAAAGCTCAAGTTTAACAAACTGTAGAAAATCAACGTCAATAGATTGTTGAGGTGAATAAAATCTATTTCTTTATTAAAACTTCTTCAATTTTTTCCCGTTGTCCGAAAATTGATCATCCTAAAACTAAAAGGTACGGAGTCAGCTCAGGCTTATTTTCGACCCTAAAAGGTCCGTTGAGCACACCTACCAACTTTTATAAGGGAGTCCCCCCCCGGGCCCTTTCTATCAATACCTGTGTAATAGATTGGACCAAAGATATAGCCAAATCCAGATCCCATGAAGAACGCTTTCGTTGTGCTGTTCTCAAAGTAACCAGTCAAGCAGACTCCCGTTGCTCCCGCTGTATTATCTAATACACCAAGAAGAGCAATACCCAGGTATTTCAACCAAATGGGACTTACAGAGATGAAAAGACAACCCAGACCTCCTGCAGCAAGTGGGAAGAGGGCCAGAACGAACACTAGTGGAGGAAGTCGATCAAATACGTAGGGGATAGCAAAGGTCACAATAGGTGCAGGAATTAACGTTGAGAGCCATATTAAACCTGAAAGTGATATTTATATCATCTTTAATAAGATAAATGATCTTTCATAGAACTGACTAGTGCATGAAATGATCATCATGAGCTGGTCCATAGCTGAATTTCGCGATCTCTTTTTCGCTGTGTTAGCCTCAATTATGTGCAAAATATTCATATGTTTTTAAATAAAACTCGTGAGATTTCAAACTATTTCCATTGTCTTTTATACTCACGGATCTCTTGCATTTGCATGAGACTTTTAGTGGGGAAGAGAATTTATTACATGGTTTTGAGGCTAACACAGCGTAAAAGAGATCGCTAAAAGGGTTTATTGAGTAATATGAATCAGCCAATGATGTATTCTTTGAGCTAGTCGTCTTGTCTTGTCGCGTGGTCGTTTTGCGCAACTCAACGCACGTGCGTTTTCTTGCAACTTCTCACAGGTCGGCTGCACACAACATCAGACATGACGTGTGGACGCTTAAGCGCCGTTTACACGAGCAATTTTTCCTTGACAAGTTTCTTGACAAGGAAAAATTGTCCGTGTAAATGGTCAACAAGTTTTCCTTGACAATTCCTCCTTGACAATGTTTCTTTGCTCGTGTAAACGAAGAACAAGTTTTCCTTGACAAGGAAAAATTGCCCGTGTGAATGGTCAACAAGTTTTCCTTGACAGTTTTTCCTTGCCAAATTTTCCTTGTTGTCCATTTACACGAGCAAATTTCGTCCTTGGCAATTTTTCCAAAAAAGGCAAACATGTTGGCTTTTCCTTGACTAGGAAAAATTGTCAATTTTACCCCATTTACACGAGCAATTTTTCCTTGTCAAGGAAAACTTGTAAAGGAAAAATTGCTCGTGTAAAACGGCGCTTTACGTGCAGTGATTTGGAACAACAACAAATTATAATACAGTCAATCCATTAAACGTTGTCCACTTGTAAGGACACAAAGACAACAAAATTAAAAGTCGTTTGCATAAATAGCATTTTAATATTCGCAGGAAGAAATGTAATGATAAACTTTAAATATATAGCGAATTAATTGTTATTGACATCTTGTAAAGAAGTTTTAGAGCTTTTTGTTGAAGTATTCTTGCAAAAAATTAAAGATGATATATGCAAATGCGCGTCTTTACACCTTCACAACATTAATGGATTGATTATTTTGATCAATAAAACTAGATTTTATTCAATATGACCAAATTTGGAACATAAATGTATATATCGTGTCTATGTACAGACACTTTTAACACGGGAATTAACCAAAAAAAGAGAGAAAACCCCAAAACAAACTGAAACAAACCAAAACGCGGTAAATCATGTAGCATGACATAGTAGGTAATTCATGCATAATGTAAAAATCTTTTTTGGCGCCTTTTCTAAAAAGGTCAGTGTTTTGGAAAAAATAAAGCGCTTTCAGTCGAAAAGTGTGGACATTTTGAAACCAAGGAATTCAAGCACCTCTCAGTGGCACTGAGAGAGACTTGGCAACGAAGAATTGACAGATTACAGTCTTAAATAACTTTATATATAAATTGATGAAACCTATGCTTGAAACAAGTATGCGGTTCTGTTGAATATGGAGCGGATAACGATAAGGCGAGTTTGTTATTGCATTCCTCACATGGCGGTTTCATAGCATAGCGACGATAAAAAGACAAATTTTATCTAGAGAATTTTCCCAGTATTTCAGAGAGCAACATTTATCGGAAGTTGGTAAAAAAATATGTAAGATATTCATTGTAGTTTTCTGTGATTTGAAGTTCGAGTGTAGGCAGTTTGACTTTAAACTTTGCATAACTGTTGGGAATTATCTTAAAACTAAGCCTTTTGTAGGTATTTCTTGACTAGTCTAAAACCGCATTGAGACGTGATAATCCCATACATTCTTACCAATTTTCTATCGCTCGTATTTCTGTTAAAAAGCATTATTTTGGCTCAAAATTTCGTAAATGTTCCTTTAATTTAGATTTTCTATTGAGGACAATGATAACATATCGCTAATTTGACCTCTAAGTAGCATTTTWAAAAATATTAAATCCAGAATTAAAGATGTGAGTTTTTGCCTTATATATGAGATATCTAATTTTGTACCTCAATACTTACTGCTTGGTGGAGAAGTATATGCGAGCAAATCTTCCGTACTTGTCAATACCATGGTATATGATACATACGATAAAAACCCGAATATAGAAAATATGACTCTGGTTTTGAAACTTTCCTCCATGGCTTCCTCGTCGTTCATAATCGATGTCTTTCTTTTTTAGTTGAATTTGAGAACTGTGGTGAAACTGACTTTTAATAGATCAACGTAATTTCATTCTCTTTGACGATCGATAAGACTTGAATCGTTTACAGCGGTATGTTCCAAGTCAGTGAATATATGATTTGGTTGAACGGATTTTTGATTATTGGATTTTCCCTGAGGGAAACAAAATAAAAAGAATGAATCTCGGTTAGTAAGGTTGTAAGCCCGCTTCAGATAATTATTCATCTAGACTTTCCACTTTTGCTAGGCTCTAAATTCACTGACAACAGAAGTATAAAAAGATAAAGTAAAGTAAAGACCAAAATTTATTTTTTCCATATATGGATACCCATGTGCATGGATCTCATGTACACTAGAAGTGTCTCAAGTCCTATAGAAGTTTCATTGATATGTGTATTCAATCGTATAAACCTACAGCCCACGTGGCTTAGCTATTTCAAAAAACCTTGTCGGGGAGAACGGCGAACGGCAATTGGATTCACGTTTCATAGAAATGGAGACTAAATGTCTTACACTATAAATCAGTTCAAATCAGCAAAACCCATGACTACTTTCGGTCGTGCAATCGCCGTTCGACAATTGACATTCGCCAATTGATTCAACAACCTTTTTTGAAATAGCTATATATTCATGCATGCTGTTGCAAAAATACTAATCACAAAAATTCAGATTCACTCAAGGGAAATGAACTTATGATTTAATGGGAAGGCAATACATAGCGCTGGTTCCAATAAAAAAATTTCTTTTCAGTTTAAGTTTAAGTCTTTGAAAGTTTCACTGAAAAAAATCGCGCGCTTTAAAGGTTGTAAATTTGATGTAAATATGATGTAAATGTCCAAAATTCTGTAAATTTGATGCAGATGATTTCCATTAAATTTTGGACACTTACATCATATTTACATTAAATTTACAATCTTTAAAGCGCGCGATTGTTTCCAGTGTTTCCTATGTTCATCATAACATAATAGGGACATGAGAGCCTTCTGTGTGTACGTCAGCCCCATAATACTGTACAACCATATATGGAAGTCATACGACAGATCCCACTTTGGTCAATGATCAGGTATCAAATCTGAGACCTTTGCTAGGGTCATGGACCTTTATATCTGATAAACGTCACCCTTCTTATTAGTATTCTTTATTGTATTGGCCTAATAGCTCATTAATTATGTCTGAGTTTTTGAATATCATATAATCATCTTTATATTATCCTCACTCGTGAGATATCTTTTCAACACTCGAAGATACAATCCATATCTGTGCACCCATGTAATATCCTCTATATATTTACGAAAATCGATTAAATGCTAATACGAAATGATATCCATTTGCAGTTACTACAGCTTAGTGATATTGAAATCTATCTCTCTGGTAAAACAAATGGCTGTGTTGTTTGTGTTTCCTAAACAGTGGTTCACCAGCACTTTTTCTGGAAAAATTGCGAGTATAGCGCCAAACAAACAACCGGTTGCCAAAGCAAATACCATTAAACCCTGAGAAAGCTCACGAACTCTCAAATCTTCAATTTCTCCAACGATTACACTAATATTTGTATAGGTGGCATAAATGCAGACGCCGAGTGTAAAAAGAAAAATCAGCAGGACCCAAACATTTGGCAAGAAACGATACCATGAAGCAAGAACCAAGATTACCACGTGACCAACAGAAATCATCACCAGAATCCATGTGCGACGTATGAGAATCTTATCTGCAAGACCCGGCTTGATAATATCTGCCCATCCAAGATATGAGAGTCCAACAAAATTACCAGCAAAGGCCATTATGGAATAGTACTTGTAGTGATCTGAACTGGGAAATGGAGAATTATTGAAAGCCAGCGAGGTCACAAYACCACTTGATGTCATACTGAAGGAAGTATGGACAATAATTAGTTGAGTTATCTGTGGCAGGACTCGAAGAGAGTAATAAAACTTTTCTCTTGTTGTCAAATGCCTGTCCGTTATGGTTTCGYCATTGTTGTTTGTGCTCGGTTGATCTCGGTTGTGCTCTGTGATCGATCGGTAGCCCATTCGTACATTTTGTCGTCGGTTTTCCAGTAACGAATAACATACAAGGAAAACAATGGGCTGCATTATGACAATGATAGGGATAGCAATCTTGTAGGAAATATGAAACCAGCTGGTCATTGCTGCAATGGAAATTTTGGTATACATTGTCAKGAGAATTTTTAATGAAAAATGATTTCGGCTTAGAAAGTCAAGAATGTGCGATGATTGTTAGGAGGAGCTGACGGGTTCCTGCAAGAAATATATCTGTTCTTATGTCCCAGCAAGCTGTAAGTCACAACTGGTTGCCAGCGGAAATTCAGGGAAAAAGAATTCTCCAGACAAGGAATGTTTTCTAAGAATTTTTGCCAGGAAAATAAAAAGTTTCTAAAAATATATACACCTACTTGCGAAAACGTTGTCATAAAAAAATAGGACATTTGTATTTTAGTAAAAAGGAATAAATTAAAAAAGACAAAAGAAGATCACTGAGGCTGAACGCTCTCTTTTGTCTTGTTTTAATTTATTCCTTTTTACTAAATTCGAATGTTCTATTTTCTATGACAACGTTTCTGCAAGTAGGTGTATATATATATAAGCCGTTTTTGACCATAAAATCGTTATATAAGCCTTTTTTGACCTTAAAAACGTTTGCCAGGGACAAAATTATTTTAAATTAGGAATGGCACCACATTTGCTTATGAGACTGCCAACAATGTAGTTCATAATCCCTTTCCGAGGACAAAATTCGTACAAGAACAGTTTAGAAGAATATACACCGTCGGCTCCTCCTGTGATCTTGAACACACTTATCGATTCCATTGCGCTGCCTCTTCCAATCATACCTGTGTAATAGATTGTGCCAAATATATAGCCAAATCCACATCCAATGAAAAACATTTTCGTAGTGCTATTCTCAAAGTAACTAGTCAAGCAAATCCCCGTTGAGCTCACTATATCGTCAATTACACCAAGAAGAGCAATACCCAGGTATTTCAACCAAACGTGAGTTGCAGAGAAGAGAAGACAACCCAGACCTCCTGCAGCAAGTGGGAAGAGGGCCAGAACGAACACTAGTGGAGGAAGTCGATCAAATACGTAGGGGATAGCAAAGGTCACAAAAGGTGCAGGAATTAACGTTGAGAGCCATATGAAACCTGTTAGTGATATTTAACAATTCATAAATAATTCATACATTTTCATAGAAAATATACCCCTTTCTTCTGATTGGATGGCAAAAAATGACATATTTGACAGCTGTTATTCCGAAGCGGGTGGCATGAAAGTGAGATTCTCAATTGCCCCGACCAGAGGCTTTCTTCTTGCGTCGTTAAATTTAAGTAATGGTCCGAATAAGAAGCAGGCAAGCAAACGGCAATGGAATGCATGAAGGTGCTAATTTTGTATTGTATAATCCAGCCATCTCATTGGTTAAAACATTAAAATCTGRCATAATTTCAAAARTMAYCRCATYTTTTRATATTTTATTTAATATCTGATTCTAACTTCATAAAAGCTTTCCTTAGCTTTAATATTAATAGCAATTCTATGTGGGGAACATAGCAAATTWGAAGCTTCTTTTGGCTATTGTTTTGAGTGCTTATGATTGGACAAGATCTTTTAATACAAAAGAAACTTTGTTTCAAAACAGAGTTTATCCACATTTTATTTTAAAAGTGTGTTACCCATAGGTTGATACTTAATCAGTGTGAAAACCAAGACAKTCGTATGTGGGGAAGTTGCAATTGCCGCAGAACAATAGAAGGTTGCCTGCTTTTTGCACGCATTGTTACTTAAAAAKCAAAGACAAAAATACGATAAATACTAAAAAAACATCTATAAAAGAAGAGAAAACCAGTGTAATAAAGAAAAAGACATGCCACAAAGAATGGAACTCATAAAAAAAATCGATTACAAACATTGAAAATAGATACGGTTCAACGATTCGTATTCTACAATGATACTTACTGCTTGCTGGAGCGGAATATGCCAGTAAGTCTTCAGTGCTTGTTAATATCATGGTATACGATACAAACGACAAAAACCCGAATATGGAAAATATGATTTTGGTTTTGARACTCTCCTCCAAGGCTTCCACGTCCTTCATAATCGGTGTCTTTCTTTTTAGTTGACTTTGAGAACTGTGGTGAAACTGACTTTCAACAGAATGAATTTAATAGATCAACGTAATTTCAATCTCTTAGACGATCGTTAAGTACTCATGTTACGCTCCTTCTCACAGACAAGACAATGGTAATTAATCCAAACTAATCACCATGAATAATGATTTTTCGTGGCATCAACTCATTTTTGTTTCACGGCCCCTCAGGTCGAAACGCTACTAAGGTCAGTTTGCAAACCCATAWTTTTTTGTCTCCTCTGTCAATCATCTTACAGTTCAGCGAATCAGATTCCTCATATTTAGCATTAGCCAATCACATATCGAGAATGAACTTTCTGTTTCGTAATTCATATCACGGTGATAGAATGTGATCTTGATATTCATTCAAAGTGTCAAAATAGCTTCAATTCTTATCTCGAATAAGTGTGAGCTACTCATCTTAGGCCCATCGAGCTCTMGATTTGAATGAAAACCAGGACATTGTAYTTTTTAGTACAAACTGACGATTCCRGTGATTACATTTCACCGACTTCACATGTTTTATAGCTAGCCGTAGCATTGTAGATCGTTCGCATTACGGAAACCGTATTTTGTATTTTGTATTATCACTGAAATCCTATTTTTTTTTTCAAAAAGACTTAAAATCATATTTACGCTAACATAACCATTAACGTCCATAGACTTGCACTAACTTCGTATTACTTTCACCGTGCCACTATTTAATCGGTAAGGCACTATTTATAGCCAAAAAATGACAAACGCAGCACTGCACTGCACTGAACTGTAGAGGGCCGAAACATCATTGCTCTTAGASCAATATAGCCTTGTTGAATTTCAAGTAGACAATGTAATGGGMGTATTTGGCTCACTGGGCTGCTACCCAGGAGCCGGTTTCACTAGAAAAATATGATATAAGTGTCAAAATGATGTCAATTTGATGTAAATTTGATGAAAATTTGATGAAAATTTGATGAAATGAATGAATTTACATCAAACAGGTTGACATCATTTTGGACACTTAACATTATTATTTACAGCAAATTTACAACCTTTAAAGTGCGCGATTTTTTCCAGTGTTTGTTGGATGGTGACTGACCTAATCAGAATAACAGAACTAGTCTGAATTGACCGATCCCGATTCATTGTCCTACCTCCCTAGTTATTGTTGCTACGTCTGGCAAGCGAAAATATTCCTTTTATATAGAGCATGGAAAAGATACCGCTTGCTGCGATATGTAGGAGCTTGCCTTGTGTTTTATGTTTTTGACATTTTCATCAGGAAAAGCTAATGAATTTAGTAAAGATATTCGATTTTGTGTTTGTTGCTCGGACAGTTTCAATTGGCGTTGGGAAAACTGCTCCTTGTTTGGTGATTAAAGGGACATGGTCCACTAGCATGCAATGCGGTCGTGTTTTAGATTTTTCATATTTGAAAAATGAGGTGACTTCGAATATCCATTTGCAATCCGTTTCCATCCATCGGTTTAACGGTCGAATCTTAAAGCATTTCCATTCATATAGGATAAAGGAACAATAAAGAGTAAGTTTTTGCTTATATTACGATATGTATTTCTATCTTGAAACATAAACAAAAGCTCGAAAGGGATGCTGGTGGACTATGTCCCTTTAAGTGAAGAAGGGATCGGTGAATTGCTYTGATTTTACAGGAAGTTGACCGGGACACAGGCGCTAATAGTATAGCCATGCAGTTTACAAACTTGAGAATTGCCCACAGGTCATGCGGTCAAGGCAGGACTGTTGTACCGAGAACAATTCCCTACTCATTGCAGACAGCACGACAGGATCTTTTTTGTCCACTTCATAACAGGGTTAAGTAACAATGCGCAAAGAACTAGGGAACTCTCTATTCTTCTGCGGCATTGCAACTTCCCCATATACGAATGTCTTGGTTTTCACACTGATTATGTATCCATCAGTGGGTATAGCACATTTTTGAAATAAAATGTGGCTAAACTCTATTTTGAAACAATTTCTTTTGTATTAAAAGCTCTTATCCAATCATAAGCACTCAAAACAATAGCCAAAAGATGCTTCTTATTTGCTATGTTCCCCACATAGAATTATGGCCTTAATATTGAAGCTAAAGAAAGCTTTCATGAAAGCGAAAACAGACATTAAATAAAATATTAGAAAATGCGCTAACTTGTGAAATAATAGCAGATTTTCATGTTTTAACCAATGGGATGGATGGATTATACAATGCGCAATTAGCACCTTCTTGCATTCCTTTGCCGTTTGCTTCCGGCAATTTGATAAGYGAATAAATTCCATGGAAAAGATCTATGGAGTGGATATTTTTATCTAACACTCTGTATGTACAACTTGAAAATCAACGTTTGAAAACTACTTTAATTTGATTTTTCCATAAAATGTTTTGAATATAACGGGTAAGAAAATAAAATTTTTAAAGCGTAACCGTATATTCCTAATGCATGACATGGAATTTGTTTGGAATTTTTCATTCCAACTTGAATTGTTGTTTATTGTTCTCTCTCCCCTCAACTCATTAATGTACTCCATGAGTTCCATGAGTATTGCAGGTAGCAGCTCTACATTCTTCAATCTAAAATAATCATATATTTAAATATAGTACTTAATCAATGATGATGATGATGATGATGATGATGATGATGATGATGATGATGATGGTGATGATGATGATGATGATGATGATGATGTATCAGTTATACTATAACACAGGGTACCCGCGTACTCTGTGGTTCCCCTTTGCCTACGACCCTGTTTCTTTCTTCTTCTTCGGCCTCCCCTTCTTTTTCGGAGCTCCAGAATGTACGTTGCGCTCATGATTTCTACACTGACTTGACCCAACGAACCCTTTACCGCAGAACTGACACAAGTAAGGTTTCTCCCCAGTATGTGATCGCTCATGAATCTTCCAATGCCCGCAATCCGTGAAAGATCGCTCACAGAACTTGCATTGGTAAGGCTTCACTCCGGTATGGACGCATTCATGACTTTTGCACATTTTGTACGTTCTAAAAGATTCCACGCAATATTGACACTTGTATGGTTTTGAGCCGGTGTGAGTATGCTCATGAGATTTCCTTGTTCGCCTATTAGCATAAGTCTTATCGCAAAATCGACACTTTAGTCTCTTGAGTTCGTGTTTTTCATCATCTTGTTGTWCAACATCAGAAGGAAGAGGCTTCGATCCAGGTTTGTGAGCAGAGCTTAAGTGTCTTTTGAGTTCCCATGGGTATGCGTATGYCTTWKGACAYTGTGTACACTTATAGGGTCTACTGGTATGCAACCTTCGCTCGTGTCTCAAGCGAGTGGTATCATTCAATAAAACCATTTCGCAGAATCTGCACTGGACTGTTTCATCATGATGTGTTCGCTCRTGTTGGATGCGCTCTTTGTATGATTTGAACTCCATTTCGCAGTGACGACAAGGATGGGAATAATCTAAGGACGAAAAACATATGGTTTTAGTAATGAAGATTACTTAAAAAGAAASCTAAAAGATGTACTGCCTCAAATAGCCGACTTTAGATATTTTGGTTCAGTGACCATGCACAAAARAATTGCAGACGAGGCTCCGGGGAAATAAAGAATAAAACGATATTATACGCTCTTTGATTGGTCATTTTGAAGCGTGCACTTTTTGCAATATTAAAAAAAATAAAATTATCAATGGATAATATCGTTTTATTCTTTATTTCCCCGGAGCCTCGTCTGCAATTCTTTTGTGCATGGTCACTGAACCAAAATATCTAAAGTCGGCTATTATTACTACATATGACTTGTCTATTTGGCATCTTGAAAGTTAACCGTGCCGTTGCATCGAAGCGAGATGACCGTTGAGCATGCAGTGATAGATACCTGTGAATAATTGTCTGTAGAATTAAGATGTCTCTCACACTCCATAGTCAACAGTCGTCTCGCTTCGATGCAAAGGCACGGCTACATTTCAAGATGGCGCAAGAAAATCGTGCAGGAGACTATCCCGGTAACATATTGACAGCAAAAAAYGATTATGTGTAAAGTAGATAACACTCTAGTTCGGAGCAGTGGCGGATCCAGGATTTTTCAAAGAGGGGTTCCACTTTGTTTTCGCATTTTCCTAAAACAAACTTTTTTACTGTGCCTTTCGAACTGTAGCAAATGTAGCGTGAATGTATTTAATAAAATTTCATTGTACGATGCGTTTTCATTTTATTTCATTTATCATTTTTTTTTTAATAGTTGAGGGGGGTTCCTAGGAACCAATGGAACCCCCCTGGATCCGACACTGCGGAGGGTGTCCAACACTAAGAACGTGTTGACTGTAATACCTGGATTGTGTCGACGTTCATGCCATTGTAAAAGGCACARGGTTCTGAATGATCTGTTGCACAAGTGACAATGATGGTTCCTGGCTTCRTGATGTCGTGAATTGTGCATTTTCAGTTCCCAGTATGATGTATAAGCTTTGTCACATTGTTGACATTTGTGGGGCTTGATTCCTGGGTAAAACAGTAGTAATGATTAGAGCGAGACTAGAGTGAAACCAAAACCCGTGAAACAAAGTCTAACACTTCAGTTTCGAAAATAGACCAATCCCATATTCGCTTGGATGAACACGAAACAATGGCTTCATTTCGAGGCTGGAGTTTTCGACAAAAGATAAAAGTCCAGCCTCGAAATGAAGCCATTGTTTTGCGTTCATCTAAGCGAATTAGGGATTGGTAAATGTTATTGTCTTTGTACACAAAGTGTTTGCATAGCAATAGGATCTCTGCTGAATAAACGAATATATTACATGCTTTGAGAACAACTGCACAACTAAGAACTCGAAATTGGAGTATTGTAAAGACAACTAAACACGAAGTGGATTTATGGAAAGCACATGAAATTCGTAAAATAGATATCTATTGCTTCTTCACTCAAAATGTGATTGACGAATTTCAAGCAAATAATTCCAGTACTCCGTAGATTTTTATAAATCGTCCGCTATATTTATCAATACCATGATGCAACTCACGAAGTTAAACACGTGACTTCGTAATGCCGATGGTTGATCAGAACTGCTAATAGTATTCTATATCTTGTAATATCTTTTATTGCAAAGTATCAAGATAAATGTTTCACCTGTGTGTAACCGTCTCTCGTGTCTGATACAACTGTGTTGGCTGGACAGACGTTTATTGCAGAATCGACACTGATGCTTTGACCTTTTATGGGGCTTTTTCTTCCCTTCTGCTTTCTCAGACTCCAAATTACAATTGTCATACAAGGGGAGTTTCACAGACCCATTCAGGTTTTCGTCGTTTGATTGAACAATTGCGCCAGCAGTGCTGAATCCAATGTTAACTTTTTCTTGTGTCAGTTTTGAGCCACTTTCACAGTGCAAATCTAACTTWTGTTCATTGGTTGTTTTATTACAATCACTGCTCTCAACATCTCTACATTTCAGGTCACAAGTGTTGGATGGATTGCTGATGTTTTTAT